CCTTCTAAGGACACTTTGGGGTTCTGAGCACTGCGCCCAGCTGCTCAAATACCTTAATTAGGTAACGAAAACCACCGTGACTATTTGGGTGCTGCAGACAATAATTACAGTTTATTTAGCGATACCTGCATTAGCTTCATGATGGCTTGTCCAAATTTTAACCTCAGCTGCCTGCGAACTTTTCAGCCTGACGAGCAGGAATTTGCCTTTGAGGTTGACCTCATTTTATGGGATGATTACAAATACGGCAGTCGGGTAGGTTGCTACCAGGATGCATTAATGGCCAAGAAAATCTCTAATGCATTTCTGTTGCTGCAAAACACCCCCCAGGCACACGAGACTTTCCCTGTGAAGCCGGAAGAATTCCTTCCTGAAGCGTTGTTCAGGATGCGCGATGACTGGTAGGCCAGGTATCAGCACAGATGATCTGGGCGATGTCCTTGGACCAGGTCGTCCTTTAAATGTCCTAGCTGCCAGATCCTATTCCTGTTCTTCCAAAGCCTGTGGAAACATCCACTAGGAGAGTTCAGCACCAGGAGTGGAAGAGTAGATGAAGGTAATGGCATAACATCTGGCTGTGTTTCTTCCTAAATTACAGAGATCAGGGATATCTGATTTTCCTGGGAAAGCTAGCTGGAGGAAATCCACCTAACTGCCATGCAGCACACCAACAGGAGGCAGAGTGTCTGTGCTCCTTCCATCCACAGCTTTTTACCATTTTAAAACTGACCAAGGCTAGGCAGAGGATGTATTCTGCTTTTAGCCCTCCCTCTAGGTTGGTTCCTCTCTTGGTCAGAGCCGTTTGTCAAGGGGCAGAGCTGCAGAGCAGCGATGGGTCTGCTGCTTCCCTCCCCACGATCTCTGTGCAGCTGGGAGGCACAGCTCCTGCAGCACCTGCTTTTGCAAGCCTGCTGGATGCCTCCTCTGTGGCCTCGTGTTTCTGTAAACAAACCAGGTATTTTGCTTAGAAAACTGAAGTGTAACTCTCCAAGGCTAGCTTTTGTGAAGGATGGATTCAGACAGAAATGGGCTTTCTAAATTATAGGTTTAAAATTACCCTGCCATTATACAACAGCTTGGCACTCCTCCAGAAAACTGAAGATGTTTGGAGTCTTTTCCACTGAAACGATAATTACCCAATGAAAACAGGATTTGGGGAAACATAAACTGACATCAAGCTACTCCTTTTTGCTATAAATTATATTGAATCTGCACTATTGCAAAATTACTTTGGATGATTTGAGCATGGAAGAATGCAGCGAAAGACTCTTATTACCGCACTCACATGTACAGGGAGACTGCAGTGCATCCAAACGTACCCAAGCTTAGACAAGACTTTCCACTGACTTCAAACAACTCGCTGCTTTTCTTCCTCAGAGCTGCTCAGGCCACTATTAAAATATCTTCAAGGTGCTGAACATCCCTGTGTTTCCATTTGTGTGCCAGGATAGAAGCCGCTTTTGGTCCTTCGACCATGTTTTCAAGTGCTTGTTTGAAGCTTTTGAAAGTACCAGCACTCCAAGCTGCCTTGAAAGCAGTGAAGGGCAGGAACGGAAAAACTGTGTCTGAAAAAAGAAATAGCTGCATGTGCAAGGTATAATTTTGCTGTGCAGCTCCTGGTTGCAAGGTATTGTTGAGTTTACTGGGGCTCCAGAAGTGATTTAGGAAGGAAATTAGAAAGTTTATCGGCAAATGGGTGTAGGTAAACAGATGGACAGAGATCTGGGATAACGTGCACGGTGCTGAAGGATACTTCTGGTGAGAGCTGGAAGTGCTTAAGGGAATCCAAAAAACCCAAACTTCCCCATCGGCTGTAGTTCTTTGTGTGCCTCGGTTTGCATACCTGCTGCATACGGTGGGGAAAGGGTTGTGCTCGCCTCTGTGTGAAAGAGTGCGAGATGGATGTTAGGCAGAGCCTGTCGGGTAGCTAAAAGTGAGCTGTCAGGAGCTGACAGCACATGAATGGAGTTCCCTTGGAGATGCAGCGGAAGACCAACAACTAGACGGTGAGGATTTAATGACTGCCTGCTGAGTGGGGCACAACGTGGGAGAACAGCGCCGCCAGACCTGCCAACGAAGGATGGAGGTGCTGGGCTGCTGGAGCAGCTCGGCGGAGGAGGAGGAGGAATGGTGCAAGGCTGGAGGTGCCTTTTGGAAGGTTTTTTCTGCGTGTGGTTGCTCTGCAGAGCTCTGGCAGGAGCGAGGGAAGGGGCAGCTTCAGGGTGCTGTATTTATTGTGTTCCAGGTGTATCAGTAGCCTGCTGCAAGGACTCTCAGAAAACAAGATGACTTAAATGACAATGGTAAGACTTTTAGATAGCAATACATACCCTGAACAGCCTGACTTGCAAGGGAAAATGAGCTCATTTCGAGCCCTCTTAACCTGAGATGAATTCTGTGTCTAGTTCCTGATGATAGTGTAAGCACCCAAGTGCATCTTTAATCTGACTTTACGCAAGTTTGAGAGGTCTGTGGATCAGTAAAGCAGAGCTTCTCCCTTTGTGAAAACAGAATGTCATTTCTAGTAGTATTAATGCTACTGAATCTGCTGGAATAACAAAAAGGTGCCTGAGTAGATCTGGGACGTGCAGTCACATTTGTCAGGATGTGGGTTGCACCGGGTGCTTCAGAGGGCTCAGTCCTTGCTTCTGACTTTGTAGCTATAATTCGGTTCTTCCCTACAGCCTCCTGCAAACCCAAGGAAGGCTTGGCCTCAATGACATCTGCAGAGCCTGGCTCTTTCTGGTGTTGCCAACCATCTGGGGTAGTTCCTGCAGTTGTGTCAAGAAAGGCGCATGCGGCCAGGAGAGCACAGGCATCTGCGATGCGTTGCTTCAGTCCTTCAGCTACATTGTAGGGTTGCCATCCTGCAATATCTCATTAAATATCGAAACCATCCATCTTTTCATCGTGGATTTATGGTGGGGGCTGTTTGCACACCCTTTCCCCTTACAAAAGAGTAGCAGATCGATCCAGCTTGTTGCCGAGTGCCACCAAAGTAGCGCCAGCACCAAAGCGACCTCTCTGGAAGCTCAGAGAAAGGCTGGAAAAACATCTTGTGTCACTGTGCTTGCATTTAGCAGCCTGCGAAGCCTGAAGTTGCAGGTGCCAGCGGGGGGAGAGCGTTCAGTAGGTGAGCTGCTTTCCTCCTGCCAGCAGGGACTTCAGGCCTCTGGGAGCGAGAGCGAAGGGTGTCTGCCTGTCTGGCAATCAATGCTGCGTTTTGCTGGAGCCTTCTTCAGAAACCAGGACCTAGCATTAATGCAGCTGCCAAGTACAACTCCCAGCGATCTCCCGAGCTGTTTCTCATTAGCTCTCCTCGCCGTGTCGCTGCTGCTGATGGGACCTCGCCATCTCATCAACAAACTTCCCAGAGCTCAGCTCAGACAGCGCTTATGGCTCCACTGCTGCAAGTTTCCTGGGTCTGTCCTTAGGAAAAGATTGCAAAACAGAAGGCTCAGATCCTCACTGTTTGTTTACGGGTGGTTTTGGGGAACACAGAAGCAGCCTAGCAGCTTGTAGCTTTCCGCTGAAGCTTGCAGACACGCCGGAGAGAACCTGTCTCCTCCGCGCTGCAGTAGCACTGATCTTAGTCCAGAAACAATTTGTTTTTTTGGCTGCGCTTTGGAGAAATTCATTCAGTCTAATGGCATTTCGCAGAGGAAAAACAAAAGAGGCTAAGAGCCTGAGGTTTGGGAAGTTGGCTGCTGCGCGTCGGGTGGAATTCTGAATGGAAAAATCTTGTGGATTCCTGCTCTGCAGAGATATTCGTCCAGGCCACTGCGCTGCCTCATGGCAGGCACTGGCTGAAAGCTGCAGGGTGGCTGTGACTAAGTTCAGCTGCGTCTCACGGGTTCAAGGTGCCTACAGCCTAAGGCAGGAATAACCCCGAATGCTGAACGGCACGTATTAATTTCCATTAGCAAAGCTTTCACAATTTTATTAGCTATCTGTTTCACAAGTGCTTTGGATAGTTTTAATAATGTGACTGAAAACAGCCGTGCTCTCGTAAGCCGGGTAGTTGTAAGACAATTGTAATGTGAAAGTGGATTTAGGGTGAGTACAGGAGGAACTTAGTGCCAAAGGAAGCTGTAGGACTTTGTAAGTGCCCACTGAGTCCTTCCTGGTAGGAGAAAGGGAAATGCAGAAGCAGGAGAAGTCTGGGAAGCTCAGGGACACGCAGAATAAGCCTGAATGTCTGCCTGTCTCCTGGATCCTGGCTGTAGCTCACCCAGAGCTGTGCTGGAGGCGCTCCACGTGCCCAGGAGGAACTCGCTGACGTTCATCGCCTCACCAGGGCTGAAGCAGGTGCTGGGTCCCTGGCTGCAGCCTCCAGGAGTGCCTGCATCCATCCCTCTGTCCCTGCCCACGTGCACTGTGCAGCCAGGCTGGCCAGGAGCCTGCTGCTTGGTGTTGCTGGGCTCTGGTCAGAGCAGTGTCCCGTGGAGGACGGGCAGCTCTGCTTTGTCTTCAGATTTTCCTGCACACGCTCCTAGCACTGGGGCGCTGCACACCTGGTGGGTTTGTTTGGCTGGTGAAAGGCCCTGAGAGCGAGCGGGGTGTCAGGAAGAGATTTCCTTCCTAGTGTTCGCTTATTTCCTTATTTAAATCAAATTTAAAAGCTGCTTTTATAGAAACTGAAACTGCCCAGCCTGTGTTTCGTGAAAGCCCTTTGATGCAACAATCCGTGCGTATGAACAGCCGGGTGGCCTTTCTGAAGGTGTGACCGGGACAGCCGAGTGTCGCAAGGCACCTGGCTGCGAGGAGGTGCCCTCGTCCCTCCCGCCAGGTCGTCTGCGCTGGGATCACCGAGCGGTGAATCACGGGGATGGTGAGAGGGGAGCAGCGTGATTGTCCTTCTGCTCTCCATATGGAGATGGCCATTACTCGTCCCGCCAGGAGGGCGACTCAACGCTGCCTTCAGCCAAGTCGCGTTTGCATGAAGTGCTGGGGGAAAGACCTAATGCAAAATCCCTGACCACGCTTGTGTCCCCTTCCAGGGACTCGCTGGATGCCGCTGGTGCGTTTTATAATCGAGTCGATGAGGGCGTGCACCGCCTGGTGATGCTGTCCAACAAACGCATCCAGGAGCTGGAGCTGGTGATGGAGTTTGAGAAAGTGGAAGAATGTTTTAAGGAGGTAAGGCCTGTGTGTCGGCTGCTGTGACTGCCTGCTGCCACCCTCTGTGCGTCCCACAGCAGGTACTGGGCCTGTTGATCCCTCCTGCAAAGGTGTAGAGCAATGCCCACAGACCCTCCTAAAGCACAGGAATTTGGGATAGGTTTTCAGATGTGCTGAGAACCAACTCACAGTTTGCCTGGTGGCTCCTGATGCCAGGTAAAAGTTTCCTGGCTGCTGTCTAGGTGTGGATCAGTCAAAGCCCACAAACATCTGTGAGGTTTTCATCTGACTCGAAGCCTCCATCCTGCTGCTGAACGAGCCACATCCCTGCTCTAGCTGCCCCTCCCTGCTGTGCACTCTGGGGTTGGTTCTCTGCAGCTGTGGGATAATGGAAGCAAACAGGCGCTGATTTTCAGAAAGACCTCTGAAACTTCAAGCCATGTAGATAAAGAAACTTAAGCTGTACAATATTTCAGGCTCTTGGAGTGTCCTACAGGATCTCATCAAATCTTTCAGTGTTGCAGATCTTTGCTCCCCAAAGCCTGAGCTGTACCTACAGTTTTTGGAGTCCTGTAGTCACCTGGGCTGTAACTCACCACCACCAAATGTTTCATACATCACTTGTGTGTATGATTATATATTGTATGTACACACACACACACACGTGAATTTACTTGAAGGATGGTGTGGTGCTTGGAGCTCATCTTACAAACCTGTGTCCTCAAAGATCAGTGCTAGGACCCAGTTCTCCATTGTCCTTCTGGGATTCTGGGCTCTTCTCTAGAGAGAACTGGATTTGCAAAGGAGGCTGTAGCCTACCTGTTTTCACAGGCCGAGGTGGATCCAGGAGTTTAATGACTTTCCCATTTGGAGGTAGACACTCAGGCGCCATGCCCTGTGTGTTCAGGGCTAGAAGTGTGATGCAAGAACCTAGTAAAGACTCTCTTAAAGTTAAACGCGCAAGTTCCTAATACCGAACAAACAAAAAAAGGCACAAAGGCAGTTTACCTGCCTGTTCCTCCTTTATGCTAAGCTTTTTTTTTGATTGAATCGAGGGAAATAAACTACTCCCAGCTTGCTTTCCTTGCAGTTCACTGGTGATGCTGGGCAGCACTGCTGGCATCAGCTGCTCCTGCTTTTAAGCCTGCCCAGGAGCAGTAGGCAGCAGCAGCGTGCCCCTCTGTACTGTATGTCCTGACCTGCCCCTATCTCCTCCTCGTGCCAGTGGGCTTGCTCCGTGGGCCCTTCCCAGTCCCGAAGAAAAGGAATTAATCTCTGACTGTGGGCTGAGCTGGGGTATGGATTTAGATGACACAGGAAGCTGATCTGTCCCTGCAGGTGCAGCTGTTCCTGAAGCATTCAGAGGAGCTTGCTAGCCAATTAACTAGCCTATTAACTATAAACCCTTCACTGGTGGAGATGAAGGTGTTACACAGCTGGAGTTCTGTGTCTGCTTTGCTTTTAGGACCAGGTTGTTCATCTTCTTCCCATGCTTGAGGATTCAGGTTTATTGTAGCAGCGATGGGGCTCTGTCGAGGAACCTGCAGCACAGCAGCAGGGGCAGTGGGGTGAGCTGCCTTGCAGAAAGCCTGCATCTGAGAGTCCCAGGGAACCCTGAAACATTGCAGGTGGTGAGAACCTGGCAGCGTGTTCGCATTGACATAGCTCACGTGCTGCCAGGCAGAAAAGGGAAGTGGTATAGGAAATCTGGCAGCAGGGAGATTTTATCCCACTTGGGGGTAACAATAATAGGAGTATCAGGTCAGCCTGCAGCTTGCAGAGCTCGTGTTAGACCATGGCTCACCCGAAACAGAGCCCAAGCAGCTACTTGCCCTGTTTATGCCTAAGGCTGTGTGAGCAATAGCACAACTTCACAATTACAAAGTAACCTGAAGTGGAAAATCTCCAAGCAGGAGGCTCCGCTGAAATGCCAGGATGGGGGAGAAGTGTACATGCACATTCTTTCCAGTAATGAACTGACCAGCATTATGAGAGCAATTCCCTGTTCTTTCCACATAAAGGCCTGCCCTGGTGAGTAGCACAGAGTGACTAATGGTGGAGCTTTTCCCTTTTCTCCTAGGTCAGCAGTTGGATCGAGAATGTTGGCAGGAAAAGGCTAAAGGAGATGATCAACCTGGACGATTCTTTGGAGATGCTGCTTCAAGCACAGAAGCAGTTCAGGGAGTTTGATCTTGTTGCCAGCGTAAGTGTTGTCTGATTGGAAAAACATATTCTCCAGAGTCTGAGCTGGCAGCGTGTTTGCATGCTCAGCCAAAGCCACGATGCTAAGGTGGCACTGGTAGAGAGTTCATCGCTGAGCTGTTTGTGTCATCCCTTTACACTGCCCAGCTCCCCTGCTCTCCTCAGGTAGACAAAGCCACCAGCCCAGTCCTTCAGTAGAGAGGTATCTGCCAGTCTTGAGGAAAATAACTACTGTGATGGAAGAGACACTTGTCTTTTTTTTTTAATCCCAATTGACCTCTAGGCTTACTGGGTAGACCTTTACAAGCTGCCGTGTGGCTAACATAAATCCTAACAGATGTCAGGACTCTCCAGAATTCTGTTGTAAACAAGTACACCCCTGCTCATGTGAACTGAACCTAAAACCCAGTCTAATTAGTCCCAGCTGTTAATGATCTCGAAGGCTATCTATTTTCCTTGTCAGGTCTCCATCCTCATGCGCAATCACATTTCGCTTTCAGGAATACTGCAGAAGGGGGCAGGAAGCACTGAAGAAGATGGATCGATGGGAAGACTTCTCCTCTGTGGACGTGCACTCTTACCGAGTGAAGCTGCAGACCTACAGAGATCAGCTGGAGGAGTTCTGCACTCAACTGGATGAAAACAGGCACCGGGTCTGCGAGACAGTCAGGCTGTACGAATTCTTTGACAAGGTGAGGCGAGACAACTGCTGCGTGGAGGAGGGTGTAAAAAGCCTGCTCGGACTCAGTCCAGAGCTTGGTTGTTTAGGAAAGACACGAAGCTTAACGTGTGTGCCAGCAGGGAGCTGAATCTCTGACTGGCAAAAGATCCCTCAAGCTCGTGGCTCTGCAGAGATTTTTTCAAGTCAGTATGTGAAAGAAAAGGTTAGTTCAAGAGAGCATCCACATCTAGTAAGAGCAGAGGTCTGCTGCTGTCTGAGCTGTAGTTTGTGGGCGCTTCTTGGGGCAGCAGTGGAAGAATCGTGGCAGCGCTGGCTCAGACACCAGAGTCCTAGAGTTTGGCTCCTTGTGCCCAGCCTTGGCCACCCGGCCGAAGTAGTTTGCCTGCATTTTATTCATGCTGTATCCTTACGTGCTGCTAAATTCAGCCTGTTGGCATGTCCGGAGTAGCACTCTGCTGTTCAGTCCTAAATATAGCCCAGGTTCCTGTCTTCTGGAAGCATGCAGGAGGGAACGGAGCACCACAGCAGTGTGCTGGGGAGTGTGGCTGAGGGACCCGAGGGCTAAGTTGGTCCAGGCATCTGCAGAGCAGCAGGAGAGGAGGTGTGTGGGGACGTGCTGGCTGCCTGGCGTTCTCACCTGTTTGGTTTAATGCAAGCACACCCATTCAGCAGACCTGTCATTGCATCTGGTGTGATTTAATTCCTAAAGCTGCCCGTGAATAAGCAGGAGGATTTTCTGAGCGCATTTTGAAGTACAGCTTTGGCAGGAACAGAGGACCAGGGGAGCCCGTGCTCCACTTATTCCACACTTGTACAAACATTGAGTTGGAAGTTCTCAAATTCCAGAAAGAATAGACACTAAAAGTTAAGCTGTACCAGATGTAGGTGCCACTTAGTTGCTGTCTCTGAGCTGGCTTGGCAGCCAGAAGTGCTCAGGGGAAGGGGAGGAAATTCAGCTAAACACGAAAAACACCGAGAAGCATCCTGTGCGAGGGAGGAGAGTGGAGAAGGCACCAGGTCGGTCCGACAGAACTCACTGATGGGTGTTCCTTCACAGCCTCAAAGCCTTTCAAAGCCTGGCCCATTCCCAGGGGCACAGATGTTGCACAGCACCCAAGGATGGCCCATTTCTCTTCTCAGGGCTTCCCAGCACCACGCGTTCGGTTCCCTTTTGGTGGCTGACAGCTGCGGGAGGCAGTCCTTGGCAGCGGCAGCCCTCTTGGTTTCGTGCTGCACGGCCCCAGTGGGAGCCGCACGACAGCGGCGCGGTGCTTTGGTGTGGGGCAGAGCTATCTCGAGGAGAGAGGGAGGAGGATTTTGATCTCTGTAGTTTCAGTAGAACTATAAACAGCGGCGGTGTTGTAAATACAGCACGCAGGTACGGGGAGCCAGTGGCCAACCGAAACCAGGGGTGTGGGGGGGACGCATCCTGCAGCTGGAGGGTGAGCGCAGAAACTGCTGCGCAGCCTGAAAGTTCTCTCAGCGCCGATTAAAATAATCTTGATCTCCAGAACGCTTTCTGCCTTCTCAAAGCAAAGCTGGTGGTGGTGTCTGGGAGGTTGGGGGGGAGCAGGAGATGTTATCTAAACTGATTTCACTCTCCTCTGATGCTGAGCTGCTTTGACCTTACTGCTGTGATCTTGTCAGTGCCTGCCTAACCCCCTTCTCTCTTCCCTAATATCTGAAGGGATCAACAGCAGGAGTCTAAGCTCAGTAATGGCCTTGATTTCCTTCTTGTAAAGAGCCTGCGGCGTGCCAGACCCCAGGATTCGGGGAAAAAGCCTGGGGATGCGTGAGCAATGTACGCTATGGTAATGAGCTGGCAAGCTCCCACCTCTCCAAACATCTCAGCGCGTGCCAAGGGAGTGCAGCGCCCACCGCAGGCGTCGTGGGATTCATCCCCTGCCCACGAGGAGCGGGCGGCTCCCTTCCCTGGCCCTCCTGCATGTGGCAGGCACACAATCTGTAGGGTGCTGAGTGAGGCTGTGGAAGGGGACAGGCCTGCCCCGTAGGGTCCATCGAGCTGCTGGGCTGTTTTTCACCTCTCGGCAGTTCTGGGGGCCCGTCAGAGCGCCCTGTGCCGAGGCAGGCTGAGCTGGGCCAGACCGCACGGAGCTTGCACATGGGCTGGCGAGGTGCCCTCCCCGAAGCTGTGAGTGGTGCCAAGCTGGATGTTTCCGTTTGTCCCCGCTTCCTCTGTGGCAGGAGTTCATGGTGGCTGCAGGATGGCTGGGCTGCGGTAGGGGTGGTGAAGGGAGCTGCCTCCTGCCTCCCTTTGGGGCTTTGAGCCTGGTCTGGCCTCTGTCTTTCACTCAATTCCAAGGCCGTGATGGGATGTGGCACCACATGGTGCTTTGGGGGAGAAATGGGAAGCTGAACAAGCCTCCCAACAAGCTAGGGTGTGTCCTATCAGAAGTACCAACATATGCTTTGTCCTGTGGCCGTGCGTCCCCAGTGTCCTGCACTCTCGCTGCCTGTCCTGGCTTCGTGCTGACACCACAACAGGCCCACTGGCACGGTCTCTGCCAGCCCCAGGATGTCAAGCAGTCCTGCAGAAAGTCGGTGGCAGACTCGTGATGCTTTCTGCCAAAAAGTCCCTGCTGGAAGAAAGCCCTGGCCCAACTGGAAAGGGCAGAGCCGCATCCCACCAGCTCAGCACCTGCGTGCCCTGCGGCCATGGGGTGGTTGGTACCCAGCGCCTGGGAGCTGTTGTGCCTGTGTCATCACAGGAGGGCCCCCGGGGCAGCCCCAGCCCCCAGGGCTTTTTATCCTGCTCTGCAGGATGTTGTGCAAGGCGCTGCCTCCTCTGGTGGGAACCTTGGGACCTCGCCTTGCATTCGCTTTCCAAGGGGAAGTCATCTGGAGGCCCAGCGCTTGGGACTGGTGGGCTGAGGCTGCTGGAGAAACGTTGGCGTTTCCCTCGTTGGGATTCCTTTGGGCTCTGCTCTGGAGCCTTCCCTTCAGAGGCGTTCTCTGGCCCTTGGATCTCATCTCTGGAAGGAAACCAGCCATCCACCTGGGCTGGTTCTGTCTCTGCAGCAGGGATCTCCAGCGAGGCCCCGCTGCTCAGCACGTGCAGAGTGTCACCCAGCCGCTCTGCGTCTCTCTTGGCATCTCTGGGCGCGTTACCTGCACTCACGTGTGGCTCTGCCTGCGTCGGGTTCTCCTCAGCCCTTCTCTCCCTCTCACCCTCGCACCACTTTGTTCTTTGTGGCTTAGAAAACAAAGCCTTTGGCAAGTGAAGGAGGTGCCTGCCCTTCCTGGGGGAGGGCCAGCTGGCCTGCATTTGATTATGGCAGCGCCTCCTCGTCCCTCCCCATTGTCCTTGCTGCTCTAGGCATGCCAGCGTTGTTGCTCTCCATCCCGTGAACAAGTGCTGCTGCCTCTGGGGCCCAAAGAGGGGCCGGGGCCCTTCCTCCCCTCGCTCCTGCGGCTCTCCATGCGCCCTCCCCTCCAGCAGCTCTCCCGTCCCTGTCCCCGCAGCAGGCAGCAGGACGCTCCTGTAAGTACCAAGCGTGCAGCGCCCGGGCTGACGTGGTGGTGGCATCGGGATTTGTTTGGGAACGATGTGAAGGAGGCTTTTCACTCCGCTGCTTGTGTGTGCGCGCGGGCAGCATGAATCAGAGCGCTCTGTGTGCGTCTTTTGTGTGCTCCGAGCCCTCCCAGCTGCGCGCATCTTTGCGGGGTCCCTCTGAATCCCAGGGTCACGCTCTGTGTCATACAGCAGTGCCTGGCCCTGTATCTCTCTTTTAGGGGATATTGCATGATCCTTACAGATTTAATTGCATCTAGAAGTCGTTGTTGGCACCGTGTGCCTCCAGTCTACCTGGGCGCACATACGGGCAGAGCTTTTGCTCTGCCTTGACTTCTCTCAGAGGCTGTGGGCAGCACGAGGGGGCTGCTACCCCGGGCTGCTACAGGGTTTTTGGGCTCCTGTCCTGCGAGTGGCCGAGACCGGCTGGTGGAGCTGCTCTCCAGATGTGACAGCTGAGATCCAGGGCGTGATAAAGGAGCTGCCTTCATCAGCTGTTGATACCTGCCAGTTCTCCCCCCGGAGGCTCACAGCAGCTGCCTGCTGAGGCTGCTCCTTTCTGCAGTGCTTGGGTTCTGATGGTGTACGGGACGTGGTGTCTCAGACCGTGCTTTTAAGGAGAAAATTCCAGTCCCCTTCAGGGAGTAAATTGTTGATGTGCTTTGTCTCTGACAAGTAAAGGAGGGCTGTGAATGCTGGAAAGGATCTGGGTAGCTGGGACCTACAAGTGGGATTTTCCTGTCACAGCAGGATTTCTTTCCATCGCAGGCTGCTTGGCACAGGCTGAGTTAAGTTTACTGGAAGTTTTGATTCCCAGCTCTGGGAACAGGCTTGCAGGAGAATGGGAGAACAGAACAGAGCACCACCGTGTAAAAAGAGACATCAGAGGTGTCATTGTTGCAGCGTACCTACAACAGACACATGGGCACCGTGCCACTGTGCTTGTCCCCTGCTGTAAATCCTGTGCGGGACAGAACGTGGCTCTGTCCCCAGCGCTGCTGAGCAAATGGGGTTTTTGGTGTGGCTTATAAGAAATCCTCTCGTATAACCTGTGCTGTTCTCCCTCTGATTAGAGACTGGCTTTTCTGGGGAGGGGCTGCGTGAAATGCCCCAATGACAGCTTTCACCTGGCTACTGGTGCAAGTACTGAGGTGATGAAGCAGCATCACACAGAGAGGAATCCCCTGCACTGTGCCTGCCTGATGCTGCGACTGCTCTAAGGCTGCTGTGTCTGACAGCAGCTGTCTCATCTCTCTTCCTCTCTTTTCTCTCTCCTTCCTCAGTTACCCTGTCCAAATCGTGCCCCTGGACACACATCGAGCCTGATTTGCTCTCTCCTTTCAGGGGTGTCCACTTTCATACGCAGCCTGAAGCAGTTGGGGGATTGAGCCTCGAGGTTGGAAAATCGATCCTCCTGTGGAGTTCATGCAAGGTTAATGCATGAAATCTCTCCTTTCTCCTTCCCGCCAGGTTTTTGT